TCTAATACGTCAGAATCGCCCCCACGTCATTCCTCCAATAGCGCTGCTCATTTAGAGCAGGTTATCCAGTCTCCGAGTGTTTATTCATCTGAGACAGTTGTAATTTGTACAGCTTTTTTTGTGCTTTATGAAGTATTTCAACTGCGGAAGTGAAAAGTAACAACTGATGAACTACAACTGATGAACTATTCTGTAATAGGTCCCTTCATTTTATTCTAGGTTTAAACTGGCAATGTTTTATTATTTAATACAGCAGATATATATACTAGAAGCTTTGATTATTTGGAAACTAGTAAATTGCTACGATGTTTTGTCTAATAGCTGACAGTTGATTAAATTTGCTTCATCAAATTATATCCAGAATAAATAAGATCCGATTTCCCACGTTTTATTATAATAATATATCGACACTAGCTAGCTGTAATATTTTATCTTTTCAAATTGTAAAGCAGCATTATTACTTTGGAATTGTTCTTGGGTTAGTTTTTTAAAAACAATATTTTAATAAAGCCTGATTTGACTATATATTTCACACCCGTTATGCATGTTTATCTTCCATTTTATGGGCCATGCAGGTATTTACTTCTTAAAGGAGCTAAATCGTTAATATTTGTGACCTAGAAATTGACCTAGTCAATTTAATAATGTAATCTGATTGTATATAAACTGATTTACATTTGATAGTTTCCGTTTTGACTACAATTTCAAATCTGTTATGTCCAGCGAAATACGGCATGCGTCTTAACCGAATGGAAATTTCTAGCGTCTATTGCGCATGCTCTCTACATAAGATATGGCGTCACCGTTTGACATGAGTTGTGGAATATGTCTAGCAATCGTTCTTTCTGGTCACGTGTTACAAATGATGCTGAAAGGCACTATGGTACACGATTCGTGTACCAATAGTAAAATGTTTATTTTGTGTTAAATATTGGATATTAGAAGCCTACCTTTTCCTTGTAAGATCACAACATCAATGTTGATTTGAATTGCCAAATATTTCGTGTTTTCAACGCGTAATACTTTGGATGATATTGAGTTAGAGACTTAGCTATTTTAATCTAAGCAGGCCAGTGCTTGGATTTGCGATGATTAGGTGTTTTTAAGGTTATTTTGTGTATGAACTACAAAATTGATTACATTTGTTTTTTGTCTTTAAATCAATATATTATATTGTAAATACATATATTTATTTGTGGATGTTTTAAAAACTAAAAGAGAACATTGTAAATATACAATATATTATAATGTTATAGTGTTACCTTCATTTCCACAACGAACATTCCTATTTGAACATATATTATTTTTATAGCCCATTACTTTCATAACTCAAGTCCTTAAGTTGACCTTAAACTTTTTTCCAAGCATTAGTGAAATGACCAGTGGCAGCCCAAGCGTAGGGCGTAAGGTATCAGTAAGTCTGGACAGGTTATTTGCGTTTCAGTTTAAAGTACTTTATTTTAACCACCGTAAGAACTGGGGTTTTTTTTGTCGCTCAGTGGTTAGATTTACCGTCACGATTCGCTTAAAATTATAACGTTGGTTGATTTTGTTTTGATTGCGACGAAGTAAATGGATCTTCAAACGCCACTACAAGCTCTCTCATAGCAGACAGCATAGCGCATGCTCGTCTTTATTAGCGTGATTGATGCAAGAAGATAGATCGGTAAACCCCATTTCATTTCATGGCTTTTGATTATTTTTGTATTTTGATTGAATATAAATTGCTCCTACGAAAAGTATAAAAGTGTGACTTAATGTATTTGATTATTATTGTAATTTTATTTCCCAAGGACAGTGCATAACGTAGGTCCGTCTTTATTAGCATGGTGCATCCAGGGAAAAAGGACGTCAAACCCCATTTCATTGTATGATCATTGATTATTTTTGTATTTTTATGGATTATTATTGCTCCTACGAAAAGTATTAAAATATAACTTATTCATGTTCTTGATTATGATTGTAAAAAAGTTTATGGTGATTTTATTATGCAAGTTTTTTTTTTGCTGATATACATTCCAAATATTAATGATTGTTGAAGTTTATTTTTAATTTCCAAGATTGTTGTTGTTAATATGCAGTCGACTGTTAAAGGTTGTTGGTTTTTATTAAATGATTGTCTTGATAACAATATTAGCAATATTTCTTTATTTATTTTGGTGAGGCGTGCTTCCTCCATGTCTGTGGTGCGGTACCGATGGCCTGATAAAGTATAACGTATAGTCTTTCAGATTGGACGAAAAACAGGTCCGTGTACACATTGGCGTGCACGTAAAAGATCCCTTGACAGTTGGAATTCGATACAAGAGTAGGGTGTAGTGTCGCTGTCCAACCACAATTTCACTAATAGCACACTGTGTGGCGTGTGGCCGAAATCATTATCCAAGTTGGGGCAGAACAGTAGGACGTTAAACTACATTTCATTTATTTTGGTTAAGACATATATCGATAATTTATGATTAATATTATTGTTTGCTGAATTAAACATTAAACCGATTCATAAACTGCCCAGAGAAGTCGTCTTCAGGAATCATCGACCAAAAGCACTTTTACATCGCATGCACGATATTTTTGGCGGTTGAATGTTCTAAGGATCAGCTTAAAAGGGCATCAAGTGGCCAAGTGCCCTTTTGACTATTAACGACCTTTAAAATTTCATGTATCCAACTACAAACTATTTCATCTCGTAGTCCAATTCATGCATAGTTTGATCATAAGTGATCAATAACACTTCTACAGAGTTTCACATGAGTCTACCTAAAGTAACGATGCATGATTTGTATATTTTGTGGAAAATATCAAAGATGCCAAGTATCCCACAGTAGTATAAAACGCAGCAAAACGAAAAACAATCCACATTATTATTCAAGCAGCGAATAACGAGCTGTTTGTTATTCGTTTTTCGCCTCGTTATTCGGGATTCACACATAAAGGTGTTCAGTTATCTTTATTGATGATATTTCAGGATTTAATTAATTTTAACGATAACTAGACAACAATAGAATAATGGATTGCAAAGTATAACATATGCCCATTCTGAACACAGTAGGCACCATGCCCCGGGTGATGGCTATACAATCAATATCTTTAACGCAGCTTTGCCTAAATATTTAGAGGTTCGGTTCACCAGAAAGTCGTTATAAATGATGAAACCCTGGCTTGATGCATCAGTCTACGATGGTATATAATTATACACACTAAGAGATAATTAGTGTGTGTGTGTGTGTGTGTGTGAGAGAGAGAGAGAGAGGGGGGGAGAGGGGGGTTTAACGTCCACTCGACACTGACTAGGTCATTTCGGGACTAACATATGGTTTAATTTTACTTCGATAATTCGCTTGCGCGTAGGGGTCTTTAGCAGTAGGGAGGAAACCGGGGGACCCGGAGAAAACCCACGAGGTTGGACAGGCAACCCTACTCCTTGTCACGAACAACCGGGGATTCGAAACCACGCCAGTTGACTCAATGACAGTCCTTATGATATAGCGCGCACGTGCTAATCATTCGCCCCCCCCCCCGAGATAATTAGTAAAAAGGAATCTAAGTAGAACGCTTTGCTATAAAGCGGCAGTATTTCCAATCCTTCAGATAACAGCAACTACTCTCTCTGTAGGGGGTATTTTTTCTTAGAGAAAAGATACATCAATATGCCAGGGATTATAATAATAATAATTATAAGATTATCTAGCCAGTTATATTAAAACGATCTTATGTATAAAACTGAACTTTATCCAATACAGAAATATATACCGGATCATGATAAGGAATGTGTAGCTGTATTTTACGAACCTGTCGGTTTATATGTAATTTCAAATAATGCAAAGTATACCCGTGTATCCATAACCGAATCCTATAATTTGAAACGATCAACTGTGGACATTTATCTGTAATGTAACGTTTATAGGTTTGATAGATATAGCAGAATGTGTAGTCAGCTGATAAAACTACATTTCATGACAACTAAGTTGATATTTGTATAGATATAGATTAATGAGGTATGGACCTATACACATCTTGATAAAACGTAATCGTCATAATTAATAAAGCCACATTACATTTTACCACATCAAATTTCATCATTCTGTGTTCCATGGCTTACCTGTTTTAAACACAGATAGCCTCAATTTAAGAAGAATTCTTGATTATCGCATACCTCGAAAAGTGAATCGTTTGCCCGGAAATGTGATGTAAAGAGATATCACATTCACACAACCCATTAAATCTCTAGCGCACAATGTTCAACAATTTATTCAATTTGGATCTCCCTTGATAGTGAGACTATATAAAGTTCAAATATTATATCTATTCAACTAGCAGGGATAAAGCGCACATAAGACTTAGTCCGTTTTTAATAAAGCTTTTATTTCTACGGCGCAGACGACATTGACCCTAGCCAAAAACTATAGGCCAGCTTATTATATAGTGTGTATCAAACAATTGCCCATCTTCAATAGAAGGCTTTAAATCCGTACAGTTCATCAAGCCCGTCAAGTAATACTCGCCATTAATTTCGATTGGCTACGAAGCAGCTGGGGGCCTATCAGATTCCTCGATCGTCGCGAATACCAAGTCTCCCGCTTTCCAGCTAAAATCTCCACCTTTGTTACTTGCAAAGTTCAAGGTTCGTTGATTGCCAAGGTTTTCCGAGGAGGTCGCTAAGTCTGATTTAAGTGCGTTTGTGTCACAACATCTATTGGTCACGTGGCTATTGTAAAGGGATATCAAGTAGCTATAAGATCAGTCTAGCAACGCGTAGACGTTGCAAAACTCACGGTGGTTGCTTCGGGAACACGACAGTTGCCCGACGCTATAGAGCATGAAATGAAATCGGCCATTGTAATTCTTATGAAAGTAATGGGAAAAAGACTGTGATTAATTTTATTACAACAGTAAAGTGAAGTGTAGAGAATTATGCTTTAGAATAATTAAATTTTGTTATATTAAGCATACAGCATGCAAGAGCTAAATAATCAACCCTCGATGCTATCAGATATCTCCGATATTAAATAGATTAGAACGGTTCAGCCATATTTTGATTTAATTTAACAACTACAATTTTCTTTCCTTTCAAATAGATAACAAAAGTGATGTCACACTTGAATTCAAATCCTTATAAAGCCAAACAATTGGTCAGACCTTTCCGTAGTAGGTTTAAGATGTGTTCGATTCGATCCTCACATCGGACAGTCACAATTTTCGTGGCGCGGTTAAAACTCAAGTTTATTGCAATTTGAAACAGACGCATAACAGTTTTAGATGTAGGTATCTTAAATGGGAAATCGTTTATTACAATGTGAAACAAACACATGGAAGAGAGCCAAGTGTGTTTTTAAGAAGCGCATAAATACTAAGTGTAAGTATTTCAAAGAATAGTGCATGTTCCAATGCATGTATTATTCTGTGTCAGTAACTTGAATAAGTATATCTGGACTTTGAGTTAAATGCTTCGATTCACATCGACGGTACAAAAGGAAACTGGTTCCGTTGATGGTCGACCAATCGCCTCCAAGGATCGGATTAGTAGTAAATGTATCACTGATAATGGAGTCGGAGTCTGTGTTGCCAGCTTGTACGTACATAGACCGAAATGTCGCAAACGGGTGTGTGGTCGTGCTCTTCTTAAAGTCAATATTAGACACGAATAACTTGGTTTTCTCAATGGAAGTTACCAATTTCGCATCCGTACTACTGCCATCGGAATATACTATTTTCATCGTTAAGTCCTCGGGTTCAATCTCAACCTTTGTGATGGAAACGGCTGGTCGAATATCATCCACATTGGTTTGTCCAAGTATGACAGAGGTGCCGAATGGCGTCCAGTCTAACCCATGAGGCGTGGGGTTCAGTAGACGCATGTTACCGTCCTGGTACAGCACTAAGACTTGGGAATAACCATCTGACCAAGGTAGACTCACGTATATCCTAAAATAAGCGATGTTGTTCCATTCCTCTGCTGTTGATGGTCGAACTAACTTCATGCTTTCCGGTGCCTGCCACCAGAAGTCCACTCTTATACCCTCCAAGACGACCCTGTCACTGGAATAGAGCGGTATAACCACGTCTGGTCCCATGTAACGTCTTTCTAGCCTAAAGTTCACTAGCTGTTGGTCTGAGACTGTGGATTGTACAGTCACAAAAATATTATTAGTAAAATCCTCCTTCCAGGTAAAATCAGGAATATTCCAAACCGTGCTGGTCAAACTGTCTGAAAAGGTCACTGGAGAGAATTCAATAATTGTACCGTTTCTATGTCTGTACGATACAACGACATCTGATGGGGCGTCTGGTGAATTCATTGTCATGTACAATGTCGATCCAATCTCGGAATCAATGTAACCTTTCTTACGTCCCTGTAGGGTAAACGTTACAGCCATCTTAGTTATTGTGTACGGCTCGGGGGCTGTCTTTTGACTGAAAAATAACTCTGAGGTGTTTGATGTCAAGGATTTGGTATTTGGTGAAACCTTGACATTTTCGTACAACCAGTATACGGGAGTTAAGAAAGGACAGTTTCTTGTGTCTTCGTGTCGGAGATTCAGAAAGGATCGATAACGCGGGAGGCTAGCTGTGATCTCGTATTTAGTCACGTCAGCATTAAAGACGGCGACGTTCACATTATCCTCCTCTGCGCATTGGGTACTGTAACTCCTTTGTACGACCCGTCCTTCAGTCAGACCTGGTGCAGCGGCCGTTACAACGGGTAGATCTGATAAACATGGTAAAATACATGTAAATATATCTTCATTGACTTCAGCATCTTCAACATGAACATCAATATGATCTATCTCTATACCATAGGCATCAGCTGATTTTACCAACAAAGTGATTGTATTCCATTTAGAATCAAGTGTCATAGTCGATCCAACATTTCCAGACGATTTGAAATCGTTCCACAGTTTACCATAATCAGACCCAGCTGTAGATTCAAATTCTCCGACCACCACCTCATTTAATTCTATTAAGCACGTGTCAGATTCTCCATCATTTGAGAACATAACATTATTTATACTGACACTGGTTTCTCTGATCAAACAAAAACTAAATGACAGCATCTCCGTTCGGTGTAGCCAAACATCTCTGTCGTTGCTAGCGTTCGATCTGTAATGTATAGAATGATTCCCTTTAGTTGATTCGGCTTCTATCCGGAAGATTTTGGCACCACAGCTCTTCACAGCTACCAAAAACAGGAATACACATACGCATGTATGTGACGTTAACTTCATGATGTTAACTCTATGGCAAGTTTCTGTATAATGCGTGGATAGAAAATAAAGTTTTTATAAAGATTCACGGGTGGTCGATTTTTAACAAATCATATCATTAGTACTTATTTTTAAGTAATCTATATTGTACACTATATATACGTACGAGGTTGTGAACATGGCCATTTGTATACATCCCATACAAACACATATATAAAGACAGCAAAATAGTAAATGATAGTCATTATCTGATAAAACTTTATAAGATAAAACTTTTTCACCGAGAGATAAAAGTGATATGAAGTACTGTTCACCCGTAGACATTTTAATATCCACCTAAATCTAAAGGAAGGATGGGGCTGCCTTGCACGACATTGATAGAAAACATGTTATTAATATGAAATCTCCAAGAAATCAGTTGTTGCATGAATAGTTAAAATTATTAGTATTTGACATGTTCGAAGCTCTGCGGTAATAACCCACATATTTAACCTCTGTTATAGGTTGTTTGTATCTTTAAGATCGCGATGTCATTTTCATTTTCGTTTAAATATCAAATTTCTCACGATTTAATCCACGTCTCAGATTGATTGTTTAACATTTTGAAATTTATTAAAACAAAAGAAAACAATCAAAATAACAACGCTATAGATAATCTTCCGGCTTGTATTCAAAAGGATTTAAACTGGGCCCATCAGCGTCCGCCGTTACCTATAAAGATGACAGCGTCCTGTGACGCTCCAGCATCATAGATCGATGAATTTCAATTTAACATAGCTTTAAATATACCGAAACATTAAAATGTATGGATTGATATTCTTGTTAGAGATTAAATGTACATAATATTGTCGATTCTGATGACGAATTGGACCTTTAATAATAGTGGTTTTATAATAGGTAAAGATATGGTATAAGATAGGGAAGAGAGAAATGGGGTTTAACGTCCACTCGACACAAACTAGGTCATTTCGGGACTAACCCATGGTTCAATTTTATTTCAATAATTCGTTTGCGCGTAGGGGTCTTTAGCAGCGGGAGGAAACAGGAGGACCCGATTGGACAGGCGATCCTACTCCTTGTCACGTACAACCGGGGAATCGAATCCACACCAGTTGACTCAATGACAGACCGTATGATACACCGCGCATGTTATAACCATTCAGCCATCCAACCCCCCAATCCTCAAGTCGAATCAGCTGTAGCATATTGCTACAAAATCCTTGGTAATTACAGTTGACGACAATGTTGCCATGTTCACTTCACTGGTGGTCAGCAGGTAAAGGGCGTAAAACTCTAACTCAATGTTATTGATATTACAATAAAATGGAATGGGGTTTAAGGTCCTATATTTTGCACATTCTGGGTTAATGAAGGAAATTTTGCCTAACTCTTATTTCGAATTCCAACTATCAATGGGGTTTTTTACGCATTGGATGTAAATAGTTTTGCCAACACGATAGTTGGACTCATAACAGTGTGCAAGAAGCTGCTGATATAATATAAGTGCGCTATGCTCTTGAATGCAAAATGTTCTTTAATCTCTTTTGTACCAGCCGTATTTAGATATATTTATTTTCCTCCTTACACGAGTTTATGCGTCCACCTCAATTATACTGTAAGTATTAGTTTGTGTCTTAATGAGTTACAACAAGCTTGCGATAATTTCGCAGGTCTACTTATGTTCGCCCTAATACCGTGGTTATGTTGCGTTGTTGGGGTTAGAGAAAGTTGAGATTTTACATAGCCACTATCAGCCACCATGCTCGCCGATGTACACCTACCCTCAGTGTGTGAATATTAACTGCTAATATGCTTGTCTTGTGGATAAAACGATGACGTCAACAGTGGAAGTGAAGTAAGCGTTATCTTTTTTCTGATATTTCACCTTCATGTAGTCAGGGCACCATTAATTTCTCCTTTGACAGCTCAAGAAAATAAATAATAGCCTTATTCTAAGTACTAGATGTTTAAGTGTCCTACCAGTTGTGTAAATTATCCATTACATCCTATTTTACTTGTCCAGAGGGTTCGAAAATATTTTTTTTAAATCCAAGTCACATTTGAAAAGGTTTACGTTAGGCTTTTCAAATCATTTAGTTGAATTTGTCCAATTTTTTAAAATTAGGTGTGTTAAGATGAAATTTATATCATCAATTAATTGGAATATTGTAAAATAGTACAATTTGTTGATCAGAATAAAGATTGGAACATATTATTCAGTTACAAGAAGAGTGGTATTGAGCCTTTAACATTATGTCTGAAATATTGGATATTAGTATGCCATATTTTCATAGTTACTGAACAACATCAGTATTGATTGACAGGGACTTGTATTGAATTTTTATTCGTGTTTTTAATTCCAATTGTTATGGAAACTATTGAGTTGGAGGTTTAGCTCTATTTACCGGACAACTGTCGGAATAATCCATTTTGAAGACAAGTCTGTTATAAATCCATTCGACGTACTGATTGCAGCGAATTTCGAGTATTCTGCAGATTCGGAGTCACGAAAGAGTAATATCTGATATAGACAACCACTATAACATCAATTATTATTCTCGCTAGCTTGACTGTGAGTACCTTTCTAACGAAACGGGCTAATTTATTAAACATACATTAAGCAAGAGCTAAATCTGCCTATTGCAGATCTTATAATCTAAAGCGCACGCCTTATACCACCCAACTCTATTGATATGTATAATACATTGACAACCGCTAGCATCCGAGTCCCCACACAATGTTCTAAAGTATATTAGGAGATGTTCATGTACCAACCAACCACTCTTGTCAGAAAAAGCACTAAAAACACCACTTAAATAAGATGATCAAAACTAAAACATCAATAAAATATACATGAAATGTCGCAAGGGAAACCTACTTTGTTGCCAAGAGTTACCTGTCTTTAGTTTGAAGATTGGTAGTGAGGGTCTCAAATATTTGAATGTGGATATATGATTAAGACTTTCTTTTATTATACAGTTACCAGCACGTGTGTGCAGAAAGTTCGGTGTATTGTCCATTTAAGCATAAATCGAGCATAGTTATTGGACAATATACCCCCTCTAAGTTTGAAACAGGAACATGTTATCTCCTATTTATGTGACATGGAAGATATGATTTCAGATCCTTTTCAAGGGCAGGTGTTTTAAAACTCAAGGGGTGGTGTTTTACCATTTGAGGGCAGGTGTCTTAAAACTCAGGTGTTTTACAACTCAAGGAGTGGTATTTTATCAATCAAGGAAGGTGTTTTACCACTCAAGGACTGGTGTTTACAACTCAGAGTATATGTGTACAACTCAGGGGAAGGTGTTTTACACCTTACGGGCAGGTTGGTTAAATTATGAGGTGGAGAAGATAGTGCTTTACAACTCGAGGGCAGGTGTTTACAATTCAAAGTCATGCGTTTACTCCATCCATAATGGTATAAAGAATTATCGAACACATGCATCTAGAGTAAGGATGGAACATGTAAACCTTTTGGTCACGGTTCTAGTTTATTTGCGGCCCTGTTAAAATACCCTTTAATTTATTTGAGCTCAATCCAGCTGTGACTGACTTTGCAACAACGCAATTGTGGAATATTGATTATTCATTTAGCTTCAAAGTTAAAACTAATTCTCTGTAACCAGAATAATTACATATAGTTATGACTAATGAAAGGTGTCATGTTATTTAGAAATGAAGAGAAATGGGGTGTAATGTCGTACTGTTTTGCTCCGACTGGGCTAATGAAGACGACATTACGTGTACGGCAATGTGTACACGGGATCTCGGTTTTTCGTCCTATTCAAATGGCTATACGTTGTCCCTTGCCAGGCCCTCGATCGTCATGTTATTTAGTCCTGTATACCGTGTAGCAATATTGCTAGATTTTTGCTCTTATAATTACTGATGGCATTATATTGTATTAATGTCTTTGGCTAATTGTATAGACGCCCTGTCTGATATGACGTACTAAAAATATGAGTGACATGTTGACACATAAAAAGAGTTATAGAAGCTGGTTCTATGTGTCAATAAAATATCACCAGATTCCGGAGAGATTACCATCTGAGTTCCTAGACCATAATATGTAACAATTTCTATCAGCAGACTCGCCCCGGTGAGTCTGGCTGGATGGGGTTTGAGCGAGTGACTTTATTCTATTATGCATTGTACCATATGTAAGCAGCTTAATATATAAAATGTAAAAAGGAACTGTTGTATTGTTATTTCTGGTAAGACAAACATCTTAACTAACTGAGATAGATAAGAAGAGAATGCACAACGTAAAGGGGAAGCCAAGACGACAACTGAAAATACTAGACGATCACAAGGCTACTGAGATATGTAGTAAGAAAAGATGCATGGGTCATACGTAGGATGTGGCGAGCGGTTTTTAATTGTTGGCTCCGCTCTCCACATCTGACACAAAGACTCATAGAACTACAACTGCGGCTAATTAGCTATAAAGAACTATAGGGTTCATGCTATTAGCTATAACTAATGAAAGTGTCATGGTATTTAGTCCTGATTACCGCGACTAATTAACTATAATAATGAAAGGTATCATCTTATTTAGTCCTGATTACCGCGACTAATTAGTTATAACTAATGAAAAGTGTCATGGTATTAAGTCGTGAGTACCGTGACTTAACTAATGAAAGGTGTCA